ATGTCGTCACAATGATCAATTACTACTACAATTTGCCTAAATTATGATTCCATCAGTCGTCCCCATAAAATGAAGTTTTCATTCTAATTCGTAACGATCTCATACATGTATATATTTTCCATACTTTAAAATAGAATTACAAAATTTTACCGGCATCAAATGTACTAGTAAATTTAAATCTACTCTTAAATTGATAAATATATAGAATTAAAAAAGATTGAATATGAAAATTTTTGTCCAAGCATTTTTAAATATTTAAAAGATTGTATCTTTGATTAATAATTAGAAGTTTAATTGAGTTGGAATTTCAAAAAGCTTGGTAGTTTTCAATTCTCTACGATTATAAAAAGAGGTTTCCTTCCACCGTTCTTTACCAAAAATATGAGGTCCATGATTTTTCTCTACTTTTAGCTCTCTTTTATTTCCTTTGCTTTTTGTTGAATGATAACTTTTTGGCCAATTAGCAAGTGTAGCCAATTATTTTAAATAAATGATAAAATTATATTTGGAACCCATCATAGATTTACATATGTCTTCAAATTAATTTTGAAATTCCCAAAACAAATTATGTCACGTAACTTCTTTACAACCGTCTGATGACATCCAATAATTAGATCGATATAATAGAATTGGGCTCAAGCCCATTAAACCCATGCGAAGAAGGCCCGTATAAGGCCCACTGGAACTCTACAAATGGAAGATGTCACATTTCATTTGAGACAATCACAAGAATTTATGTTTTCAATTAAAACACTAAAAAACACATTGATACCAAACATATATCTGAAAACACTAAAAACAAATAATACAAGGAGTGTCGTGGGGTGGAACGACAAATTCACATTTTTAGGTTCGGGCCGAAGAGCTAAAGCAAAAGGTGGGCGAGCTTATGAATTGTCGTTTCATTCCATTGGATGAAGAGCCAAATGTGGGGCTGGCAATCAATGTTCTCTTAGAGAAAAAGAGAGGTGACCTGGAAAGATTCCTCTCCAGGACGATAAAGGCGATTGAGAATGTCAGAAGCTGCTTTTATAAAGCCTTCCTCCCTCCTTGAACTCAAAGGATTAAACCCGAGCACTCTCTAGGACTCGGACGATTCCACAGAGTAGAGCTTCAATATCTCGGAATTTTATTGAATCCCTTATTTTGAAATTTATGTTTTCTAGTTACCAACCAGTTGCACCCTTATCTTTTGGTGACCAATCATGTTATAATATCTCATATAGAAGATGAGACACAAGGAAGAAGAGATCAATTCAATCATATATTGTGTGTATTAAACGGTGAGATAGCAGAGGTTTATATAGACGTATTGCTGAAGAGAAAATACAACTAAAAGTACTTAATTAATAACAGTGTAACAATATGTTTAACAGATAAGATCAATGATTTCTCTTAACAAATCACAAAGTAATTTATACTAACTTTATCATTTAATTTGACATCTTAAAGGCCTTCGATGAGTATTTCGTTTTTCGTTTTTAGTTTTTTAAAAACAGGTTGTTTCCTATTCAATTTTAGGTTTTTGTTTTTCAAAATCTAATTCTTGATTCTAATACTCAACTTTTTTTTTCTTTCTCATATTTATATCTAAAAATTTTATTTCTCACTCTAAATTTTTCTTTATTTCTAAATTTCTCTCTACAAACTTTATTTTTCTCTCTCTACAATTTTCATGTTTTAAATATTTATTTTTATTTATTTCTGTCCAAATTTTTCTGTATTTTGTCTTTTTTTTCTAACAGATCTGTTTCATTTCTCTCTCTAAAAATTTGATAGTTTTACTTTTTTTTTTGTAAAATTTCATCTTTTATAAATTTTCTCTGTCGTAATCTATTTTTTCCTCTAAAAATTATATTTTATTTTCTCGTTCAATTTCATTGTAACTTTTATTTATCTTTGTATTTATTTATTTTCTCTAAAAATTATATTTTGAATCTTGTTTCTATTTCTAAATTTGTTTCCGCTATAATTTTTCTTTTTCTTTATAATTTCTTTTTTTCCTTTAACATATCTTTTCCTCTCGACTTTATTCTTTTTCTGTAAAATGTTTTTCTTTTTGTCTTTAACTTTTCTTTCCTTATTTTTTTCTAAATCTTTTTATTTATGTCTCTAAAATTTATTTTCTAAAAGTTTATTTACATCTCTCTAAACTTGTATTTTCATGTCTCTACATTAGGGGAAGACAAAATTTTCCATAGGGTCTGAGTCCCAAAAATAGGAAATGCATATTCCGACCTCGTCCTCGTCCCCGTCCCCGATTCCATTATTTAAATAATTAATATATATTTATTACACTTTTTTTATTCTTAAATTCTAAAAATAATTAAAAACAATTATAAAACCGATAATTTTTCTCGAGAACATCTCTCGAATCCAAGAACGAGGTAAAGATGGAGACTACAAATTTTCTCGAGCACGAGAATGGGGGAAAACATCTTCACTCGCACCCACACTGTTGTCATCTCTATTCTACATAAATTTTCTTTCTCTAATATGTATTTTCAATTTTCTAACCTTTTAAAAACAAAAAAACTAAAAATAGTTAACAAATATATTTCGGCTTTCTGTTTTTTAAAAACAAAAAACAAAAAATAGTTATCAAACATATATGGTTTTTGTTTTCTAAAAACAGAAAATCAAAAACCAAAAACTAAAAAAAAACAAAAAACCAAGAACTAGGATGGTTATCAAACGAGCCCTCCATTGTCTTGAGGTTTTTGTGTCTATGAGTTAAGTGTTCACGTATATCTAAAGAGCTTTTAACTTTGGTGTACAAAAGTTCACCTATCATTTAGTATCGTAACAACACAAAAAGCAGAGGGTTCGTTTGTAACGTTCTCATTTCCTGTTTCTTGTTTATGTTTCTCATTTTTTGAGAAACAGACATATTTGGTAACCAATCCCATTTTTCGTTTCTAAATTTTGAAAAACGTTTTCAAAAAATGGATCAATTTTTGGAAACTACGAACTCGTTTGCTGTCTCTGTTTCTTTATTTTGTGTCCAAGCGCTGTCTCAGATTAAAAAATATATTTGTCTCAAATTTTGAAGAAGTATTCAATGGTCTGGTGGGTCATATGACCACGAGTTCGATCCTCAAGGCATGAAACTTATTATTTTTTTTGTTTCTTTTTTTTTTATATTTTATATTTTTGAAATTTTATTTTGATTTAAAACTATTATATTTTCTTAAACAAAATATTTTCCTATTTTTAAAATTAAAAATATTTTACTATTTTACTTTTTTTTCTTTTTTTATATTTTATATTTTTATAATCTAAAATGTTTTGAAATTTTATTTTGTTTTAAAACTATTATATTTTCTTAAACAAAAAAATTTCTATTTTTTAAATTGAAAATATTTTAAAATTTTATTATTTATTTAAACTAATAATTTATATTTTTATATATTTTATATTTTTGAAATTTTATTTTGATTTAAAACGATTATTTTTCTTAAAAAAAATTCTATTTTTGAAATTAAAAATATTTTAAAATTTTATTATTTATTTAAACTAATAATTTATACTTTTATATCAAAAACAAGTTTATATTGTAAATTATATTTTCTTTAATATAAATTTCTTTTTTCTTTTTTTATGTTATATATTTTTTAACTTAAAATATTTTGATAATTTATTATTTATTTAAACTTATTATATTTTATAAACAAAAAATTTCTATGGTTAAAATTAAAAATTTGAAATTTTAATCTTTATTTAAGTTAATAATGGATACTTTTATATCAAAGAAATTTATCTTCTAAATTATATTTTTTAATAAATATTATTCTTCGAGTCTATATTATATCTTTTTATATTATATTTACTAAATTTTATTTAACTAAAAAAATAAAAACAAGAAACATGAAACACTTATCAAACATATTTTTGTTTCTATTTTTTTTTACAAGAAATATGAAACAGAAATGATCACCAAATATATTCCTGTTTCTAATTCTAAAAAAAATATAAACAAAAATTGAAAAATGAGAAACGAGACCGTTACCAAACAAGCTCAAAAGAACTCGTTAAAAAAATTCTACTTGTGTACCGTCTACTTCCCAATTGCTTCTAGCTTGTTTGTAATTTGGATCTTAAAAGATAGAGCTTTCTTTCTATTCTATTTGCATAAAATTTTGAGTTAGTTTTTTTTTTTCTAATTGAATAAAGAATTGTAGGGATTTCAAGGTTAAACTTTTTTAGAAGATAAATAATGTGTTTCGACCCTTTAAATTATGCTCACATCAAATTTTAACAAAAATGATATTTTATTCTTTTAAGAACGGCACACGGAACATTCCTAGTTAGTTCCTTGCTTTTGCCGCAAGTTGCTTCTCAAATTAAGGTCAAAATACATCCTTGTTGGGTGCAAGTTGCATTTCATATTATTTTTTGCTAGAAATTTTTGTTACAATTGTTGGAAAATTTCAGAGACATTTTGAAGTTGTATTTCGTACGAGAGCTTTTGTTTTATGTCTTTTTTGGAGTTTAATAATATGTAAAGGTGGAGATTCGAACCTTTAACTTTTAGTCTAATATATATGTCTTAATTAGTTGAATTATGTTTATTAGTCGCTTTTGTTGTAATATGACAAAAATTAACGGGTGATGATGTGAGTATATCTTTGTTAAGTACATCACAATTCTTTTGAACAGGGTTAAGATTTCTCTGCTCTCTTGGAATAAAAAATGTAATAGTATACATCTTTAATATATTAAGAGGGAATGGAAGAATCATGCCAATCTGAATGTAGCATCGTACTAGGAGAGGTTCTGCATGTGATGTTTGGGTAGAGAGGGGTACATGGATGAAGTGACACCACATCCGAATAAAGGAATCCTATTTTGTAAATATCGACTCTTATGTCGATGTCGAACTCATAGATACATGGATATGTTTTTAACTCCCGGCTAAAAAGTATTTTGTATAATTTAAAAAATATTACGGGGGAGGGGAGACATACTTGTAAAAAACCTTCTCCCGTGCATTTCTCTCGCTGTCTCCGACTTTGACTCTCCCGCTCTCTCTCCCACTGTATTATTCTCTCTCTCTCTCTCCCAATCCATCTTTGCAATTGGATGCTTTATTCCTCATCGTGAAAGCTGCGTCTCTTCAAAGCATTCCGCAAAAGCTTCCTCGGCGTGACACTGAAAGGTTCGTCTCTTCTCTTCAAAAGCGTCTCTCTGTCTCATTCTCTCTGTCGCTCTCTCACTCTCACTTCATCTTCCTCGTATTTCTCTCTCAATTTACCTTGCAGAGGCAAAAGATTTCCCAGCGTTTAAGGTATTTTTGATCAAACCAAAACCCCTCCTAAACCCCAAGAATTCATTTGTATATGCTGTTGTTGCGCCCTCGAATTGGCCGTAAAGCAGCTTCATCCTCTGTTCGATTCCTCTTTCCAACAGCGGAGATACAAGCTTCCCCGGCGCCAGCTTCAGTAGCTACAATGGTGGCGCACCACTCCAAAGATGAGGCCTACCTCAATACCGTCATTCCCAAACGCGTCCAGATTTTTCAGTCAATACAAGCTCAGCTGCTTGCCGACCGTCGCTCTCTTCCGTCGGATACAATCGAGTTAGTATGACGTTGGAATCTGTGGAAATTACTAGCTTGTGCTCGGGTTTTTGAAATCCGGAACTTACTTGATTCTTTACTGTTTAGGATCACCTTGCCGGATGGGACGGTGAAGGAGGGTAAGAAGTGGCAGACAGCACCGATAGATGTTGCAAGAGAAATCTCGAAGAGTTTGGCTGCGAACGCTTTGATTGCGCAAGTTGATGGAGTTCTATGGGACATGAGCAGGCCACTAGAGGGCGATTGTGAGCTTAAGCTGTTCACATTCGAAAGTGACGAAGGGCGTGACACTTTTTGGCATTCTAGTGCTCATATACTTGGACAGGTTGTATTCTCATGGATTGAATGGAATCTGAGCTCATTAATGACAATCCTAACATTATTTAAACTGTATTGTTTTTCCTGGATTTAGGCGCTCGAGATGGAGTATGGTTGCAAGCTCTGCATTGGACCCTGTACCACTAGAGGAGAGGTATTTATGTAAATATATATGTTATTTCCTTTTGTGATGATCCCCTTTTAGTTGACAAAACAAGTTAACAAAACAAGCGGGGGGCTAGGTATTCTGAAAGTGGAAACCATATATTGTTAAGTGTGACCATTGCCTTAATAATTGCTATTTCGGTTGTACAACAGCAAAAGGAATCTGCCTATCTTGTTGCTATTCTAGGTGTGTTGTATATAGGTTTTTTTTAGAGAATATTTAATGCCTCTGCCAAATTAACCTGGTATTTTCTAGTAATAACTCTATTAACTAAGGTGCAATTTCAGCTTGTCTTCTCTGTTCTGTTGCCTAGAAATGCTCTGTAGAGTGAGAATAATTCAGAAAGAACTTGAACTATTTTCGTACCAATGGAAATAGGACAGTCTTTATTTGAATCTCTACTAGTCGGGTTAGCATTCAGAAGCTTTCAGAATGAGCTGGGTAATTGAGGTTTAGATTTCTGCTCCTCATTCTTCAAGTGATTTTTGCTTGTATCCATATTTCGTCCTCTCAATCAACTTCGATTTTGTAGTTCTCTTCTTGTCCATCTTTAGCCTATATCTTTCTTCTCTCTTTCATCAATCCCTTGCCAATGACTTCCATGTTTGTGGCTGCATCCCCATATTATTTGGACAGCAGTTATCATCAACAACCTTTTCTAAATCTTCATTCATGCTCTTAAAAGACGTGGAGCTAAAATAATTTGCCCACATTAATTCCATGCATTGTTCAACTAGATGCTGCTTTTCTCGGAATCCTGAGTGAGAATTGACACAGCGTTATAAACCATCCGCCGTCCACTCTGATAAGCCCAAACACTGATCAAGCTTTTTGTTGGTCGGGTTCCGTAAGTTCAGGGGAATCAACCAACCTTCGATCGGCGCATCTCTCAAACCAACTAACCGACTTCAAATTCGCGGTTTCGGCTAGTCGACTCAGTTTTTGGGCTGTCATTGTGTACAGTAGTATGCATTATCTCTTCACTAGAAATAAATTATTTGCTGTAATTTGAAGGGGATAACTGTGGTAGTTAGGGTAAAGTTTTTGTTGCATTGTCCATGTTGACTTATGTGGGGTGATAGAGTTTTATCACTGTATGTAACTTACCTTTAATTTTTATGTTTGTAGTTTGGTTTCCTTTAGATTAACTGAACTTTCATTTTCATGACAGGGATTCTATTATGATGGTTTTTATGATGATTTAGGCTTGAATGACGATCACTTCAAGCAAATTGAGTCTGGTGCGTTGAAGGCTGTATCGGTAGTGTTATTTCTCTATTCTCTTGACAAGGCATTTAAACCACTTATTTTATATTAGAAAAATCTGGTTATATATATTTTTCCATGTATTTACACGTGGATGAAGGACATTACTAGCTGTATAAAGAATGTTCATCTGTATTTCTTTCTTTATTTATTATTTTTTCGTATGCTGTGATGCTATGCTGAGAGTTCGCACTCCACATCCTGACCGTAGCTAACTTTAACTTCATTTGTTATAAAAAATGTATAGATTCAGTGCAAATAAACTAACCTTCTGATTGTTCAAGTTTTTGGAACTAGAAATGAATCAATAAATTGACAATAGATATAAAAATGTATGATAAGCTAGAAACTCATAGTGCATATCCGTTGCTTCCTCAACTTTAGCAGTGCTTGCTTTTATCATTAATTTATAATTATAACTGTATTAGCGGCTTTTTTGGTTATAAAATTAAGTGCTGGAAGTTTTTTCTAACAAATTATGCTCTCGTAGCTTAGTTGGTTAGAGCACCTGTTTAGTAAGAGGGAGGTCTTGAATTCGACTCTCAACGAGAGCATAATTTGATTAAATGTTTTAAAAATAATCTGGTTTCATGCATGAAATGTCATCATTACTGAGGATACTTGTTATTAGAGGAATAATGCAATTTATTTCTTTTAAATTTTCAGGAGAAACAACCTTTTGAGCGCATTGAAGTTACAAGGCAACAAGCTCTTGAAATGTTTTCTGACAATAAATTCAAGGCAATTGAATATCACTCAAAACATTTGTATTTCATTTGATAATTGAGGGCTGAAGTTCCCATTCCTAATTATGAATGATGTTAAGCAGGTTGAAATCATTAATGATTTGCCAGAAGACAAGACTATCACTGTTTATAGATGTGGTCCCTTGGTTGATTTATGTCGTGGTCCCCATATACCAAATACATCATTTGTGAAGGCATTTGCATGCCTGAAGGTAATGTTTAAACCTCACCCAAGATATATAGATTAAGAAAAATTCAACCATGTCTATGCAACACGTTTGGAATGGCTCGTGTATGCACAAAGATTTAACATGGATTTCCGAAGATCTTCTTAGGTTGGTGGTGGATTAAGGAAAAAGCTAGACACTTTGAAAGAGCTCTAGGAGATCTATCTTTTAGTTGATTTAGGTAGAAAGGAATCATAAAAATTTTCAAATTGATTAATAGACATTTTTGTAGCTTTAGCACATCCTTTCTTTGGAAAAACTACACAAAGAACTTTTCTGTGTGTTCGTTTAGTGTTTTCAACTTGGATTGTGGTTCTTTTATTGATCCCTTTTTCTGCGTGCTGGGGAGGAGATGCCTTATCTTCTTGCCTTTTTTGTCTGTATTTCGTCTTTTTGATTATGAAATGCTAATGTATATCTGTATGTGTAATATTCATGAGGCTATTATTCTTAACAATTTGAAATTCCAGGCATCATCAGCCTATTGGAGGGGAAGTAAAGATCGTGAAAGCTTACAAAGAGTTTACGGGATATCTTATCCTGATCAAAAACGTTTAAAGGTGCTTTTTATAATTTCTTTATGTCATTAGTTCTTATAAACCACAGATTTTTGCTGATTCAAGGAGGATGTGCTGAACATTTGGTTATGAACGAAAACTAATATGATGATTTGATCACAAGTGCCAAAGTTTGGTTTCAAATACATGTTGTTATTGCTTCTAATTGGCATGATCTTATTCTGAAGTCTGTGTGTTTGTGAAGGAATACATCAATATGCTTGAAGAGGCAAAGAAGTATGACCATAGATTATTGGGTACAAAACAGGAGCTTTTCTTTTGTCATCCACTTAGGTAAGTACTTGAATAACTCAAAGTATAGCCCCAAGTGACTATTACTGTTCTTGAAAACCTATTCATATAAATTTTAGTCCTGGAAGCTGGTTTTTCCTTCCTCATGGAGCTCGGATCTACAACAAACTTATGGACTTTATGCGGGCTCAATATAAGGATCGAGGTTATGAAGAGGTTGATATCCAATGTTTTTGATCCTTATGAAATTGCAATATATATTTTGGTACCTGAAATTTTAGTTCTTCTGCAGGTTGTGTCACCAAATATGTACAATATGCAACTATGGGAAACTTCTGGTCATGCTGCAAATTATAAGGAGAATATGTTCTTATTTGAGGTTCGGCCTTAAAATAATATCTAGTTATTGGATTTATCATATTTTTTAAAAAAGAACCAGTACATTAAATAAAAAGAGAGTTTCAACAAGGGTGGAAGAGAAAACTTTCAAACTAGTCAGAGGAGTCGTACAAGACTCTCCACTTGACTGAATATCAAAAGAAATAGAATTACAGAAGTCCCTGGAGAGAGTATATATATATTTTAATGAGAATCAAGTTTTCATTGAGAAACAAGAAAGAAAATACAAAGGCATACAAAAGACTCAGCCCCTTGAAAGGAGCTAACCTAACAAATGGACTCCAATCCAAAAGTTGAAACCAAAGCCCATAAAGAGGTAATTTCCCACACCTCTTCCCAGGGCCCTTCCACCCTCTAAAAATTCTACCATTCTTCTCTAGCCATATACCCCACAAAATAGTCAAGGAAAAAAAAACCCACCAAAGAACTCTCCTCTTATCACGAATCATAGAACAACAATCCCCATTACACGCCCACAAGATCCAAAAACAGGCAAAATGGCACCATAAGGCCTGAGCAATTAAGCAGTCTTACAAAATATGTTCAAGATCCTCTAATGCAAGTTTGCATAGACTTGCACTATCGTGAGCCCAACACAAAGGAGGAATACCTACCTTTAAATACGATCTAAGGTGTTAACTCTCCCATGCAAAACCTGCTACGCAAATAATTTTGACCTTATTAGGGATCTTTAACCTTCCCAAGAGAGGATGAAGAAAGGGCATCAGGAGATAGAGGGATGCATAAAATTTGGAACAAAGAACTATAAGAAAAGCCTCAGAAATAGACATCCCTCATCCTTGGACCCACCTGAACATTACCTAAAATATCAAGAAGGGCCGACACTTCCACCGCCTCCCTATCTGATAAAGGGCTATAGAAGCCTAAGGAGATAGAAGAGTTATAATTTGAGGAAGGCATAAAGGAGGCCATTGAATGCAACTTCTTATTAGAAAGATGATACAATTGAGGGAAGTCTACAACAAAATAGAGGATTTAAAGGAGGGGGGTGTGTGTGCCACATATTTCCAATTATGAAAGGGCTAGGAGCCCACTTAATGTGACCGGAATCAAAACAAACTGGCTAGCGATCAAAAGTAATCCTAGGACCTAAAGACTGTCTAGTGCTGCGAAATAATTCGACCCACCCCTTGGAGAACAAAACCTATCTAGTCTACCACTAACCCTGCTGTTAGACTAGGCGAATCTTCCGTTGACAAGAGGAGGATCTTGTCAGCAAGCTTGCAGCTATCAACAAAAGAGTTGAACTTTCTCATAGATTTCGTAATTCTACCTCCACTAGTCTCAAGGGGAGTTGATAAAATATAATAAAAATCTTGCTAATTATTATCCAGCAAAGTCTTCCTCTTATAATAAAAATTGTTAGCCAAAAGAACTTTAGAGTTATGAGGTCTTCAACTGTACAACCACATCACCAATAATTTGCTGCTTGAAACACGAAGCACAAAGTGGAAGCAATGAACAAGAGACAAAAAGATGATAGAATGTTTCTTCATCCTTTTGTCAAAGGATTTGCCAAGAAAGGGAACGGTAAATTTTGGGTTCTCTTTCCATACATCCATAGTATTATTGTGATGGAAAAGGGTCTAATGAATTATGAAAGAATCTAACTTTAAGGCATCTTTCACTCCCAAATAAACTCCAAAATACCTTTTGAAACACCTTGGGTTTTGCCACATAAATCTTTGGACATGGAAAGAAAGAGAAGATGGAGTTATCAAAGGTCCAAATTTTAGAGTCCCCCCGGTTCAATCAACTTGGTTAGCCTCCTCCAATTCAAAATTATCGAGACTTAAAAACTATATTCCATGCCACACATCTACAAATTATGGAAAAAGTTCTTTATCTTTCTGGGATTAGTTGTTGTTCAAGAAACTAGAATTATTGATTACATTACATGGTCACCTTAGCTTATTTTAAAATCAACTTAAGTAAAGGGATTTTTGAATTGGGTTATAGCATACGTGGGATTATTATTCATGCCTGTCTTCTTCACCTCTATTTGTAGAGGAAATTTGCTTATCCGTTTATTGGTCATGTAATACTTGGTTTGAGCTTGTTTATAAATTCTTGTACAGATTGAAAAGCAGGAATTTGGATTGAAACCAATGAATTGTCCTGGCCACTGTTTGATGTTTCAGCATAGAGTCCGTTCATATAGGGGTAGGTTCATGTACATCCGTGCAAATAAATTTTGTTTGGTGGATTTAATCTTTTATCCTCTTTCATTTTTTTATATTTTTTTCTTTTTATTCTTGGATACTCTCTATTGGTCAAGTTGTTTCTTTAATGTTTGCTCTTGATCTGTAGAACTTCCTCTTCGGTTAGCTGATTTTGGGGTTTTGCATCGTAACGAGGCTAGTGGGGCACTGACTGGATTAACTCGTGTGAGAAGATTTCAGCAGGTATTTCTAGATCCTGGTTTTTGTAGGAAATTGTGTTGAGATATAATATTGTCAGTATCTCACATCACATAGCTTTCATACAGATTCCTCTATCTTGGTCCTTTAGGTATGTGAATTCTGTTTGTATTTCTATGCGTACATATACTCATGAAGTTCAGTCCAAATCTTTTGCAGGATGACGCTCATATCTTTTGCAGGGAAAACCAGGTTAATATTATTTAATTGATCTGCTGACTAGTATTGCTTGTAATATTATAAAGATTAACTTCTCTTTTCTTTTGTTGTTTTGTATTCATTATATAGATAAAAGATGAAGTAAGGGGCGTCCTAGAGTTCATCCAATACGCTTATAACATTTTTGGATTTACATTTGAGCTGAAGCTATCAACGGTATGTTAATGTTTCTAGATAGATACCATGACATATCACTCTATTCTGCGCCTATTATATTCTTCACAAGTGCTTTCTACCTTTGTTTATTCATTAACAACACATTACACACCCTTGCTCGCTCTTTTCACGTTTTTTGCCTTCTTTCTTTTGATAAACCCATATAACCTTGGGCCTCCCATACTCCTAGTCTTTGCTTGTTTCTTAATGATAACTAGCTCATTCTATCCTAAGAAGCACAGACACATGTTGGACACAGATTCGTTCACACGCTCCATGTGTCCGTCATGCAAAAAAGTGTGTCCAATATTTTATTACTAATTTTTCTCTTGGACACGCCTGCACACATCTGGGACATGCTTGAAAATTAAAACCAATTTTGGAAAAGATTAAAAGTCAAGCCCATAAGCCCAACCTAAAAAGTTAAAAGGAATCTGTAAACTTCTAAATAAAAAACCCTAAAAGATAAAAACCATCTTAAGGGATCATGGGTGGGGACTAAAATCCACCACCCACTTTGCCAACTACCGCCAACCCATGATGCCACCATCACTTCATCACCGGCTTCTACAACGGTAAGGTTCATTCTTTTTTTTAAACCCTCTTTAACTTTATAAAAAATAGAAGTTATAGAGAACGCCCTAAGTTCTAATCCTTCCAACAAATCATATATATTTATCATTTATAAACCATTAGGAGACATCTTCAATCTCTAACCATAGCCTATCAAATCTTTTTAGCTTTTCTAATGATGGAGATGAATCAACATCCAAATGTTGTTGAACTCAATAGAAAAAGAAAAAGGATGAATCAGTATCTACATATGTTAAGAAAAAAAAGTCCCAACGTGTCTGTTCTATTTTTTTAGAGATTGATGATTTGCCATGTCCGTGTCATATTGTGTACATATCCTGTGTCCGTGTCCACGCTTCTTAGATTCTATCTAGATTCTGACGATAGCCCAAAAATCTTTATAAAATCAATACTTTTCTCTAACCAACACTCAATTTATATGGTTTTTTATTTTATACTTGAAGCTTTTCTTGGACGACTGGTTCATGTTTAACATCTCTCCATTTTGTCTTATTAGTATTTTTAATTATGTTATAGAGGCCAGAGAAATACCTTGGAGATTTGGAAACATGGGAGAAAGCTGAAGCTGCACTTACAGAAGCACTGAATGAATTTGGGAAGCCCTGGCAGGTACTTGTAATTGAACCTGCATTAAGTTCACCTTATGATTTTTAATTCGCTTTATGTTTATAATTGGTTTAAACTTTTTTCTTAGTTCTAGTTAAACTTTTTTAGCACTCTTGGTTGGTTTTGGCAAAACTGGAATTCTTTTTGTGTTTGACGCAGCCACTCTATGAATAAGTTTTATCTTGTTCATAGAATCTTTTTTCTCTCTTTATTCATTACCTCTTTAAATATTTTAAAATTTGTGCCTTGCTTGTGTATCTTTACTGATGTGGAGAATTTTCAGTTTGGTTCCCCATGACTACTCATATTGATGTTTACTTTATTATCTCTTCTTTCCACTCTACATTCTCTTATTGTGTTCCATTTGCTGAATATGCTTTCTTCAAGCATACCTGTATCTTGCAATTTAACAAGGTTTTTAAAGCAAATGGCCAGCCATAGAACTTTGGCAGTCATGGGAAAGGAAAAATTGAAGACCAAAGAATTACATATACGAGTTAGTTTGTACGATGAGCGTGGAGTTTGACTCTTGCTTCTTTTTTCTTTATTTCCATGAAATTTTGTAGTGTGGAAAATATTTTTCATTAGTTTAGCTGGGGGTTCTATGGGTTGTTTGATTAAACTAGAAGAAAGGAAAGTTGCTTTTACATGAGATTGAAATGGGAGCTACTTCTTTGGGCAGTAGAATGCTTTAGTGGAGCTTTTGCTATGTTAGTTGACTCGATTTCTTTCAAAAAGTTAGTGTCAAGGATGGAGCCGTTTGGGTGGTAAAACTTTCAAATAAAAAGTGAGTTGTTCACTGAAATTATCTATTTATCCAAAGAAGGGTTAGATTAAAGGGGCAGTGGTCGATAAAGTTGGTTAGAAGGTTTCGTGGGAGATGTTGGGGGATTTTCCAAGGAAGTTTGGCGGTGATTTTTTGATTTTTTCAAGCTTGGGGGAGAAATTGAAGGAAGCACATCGGTTGGATTAAAGATTTCAAAAAAGAAGGGGATTGTTCCTATGAATGTGGAGTCGAAGGGAACTTGTGTTTAAAAGTGGTTTTTTCGAGTTTGACGGTTTATAAATAAATGGAAGAGGGGGGAGGAAAGAATGATTTTACTCAAATTAAGTGGAAACATATTATTGTTGTCACAATTATTTATTTTCATGATGTTCTCTTGTCGACTATTTTACGCATTATTCTCCTTTAATGCTAATTGGGGAGCGTTTATTAATTCTGTGTACTTTCATTTTTCATATTTTCTATTCTTTTTTCACTCTTTCGAGAGTTTGTATCATTGAACACTACATTATCTTTTCATTATTCAAATGAGAAGTTGTATTTTTGTTAAAAAAAAAAAAATTATTTTCATGATATTTATTTTCATGGTCTTGCCTAAAGGAGTAAATGAAAAGGGGTTGGAAGATTGAATTAAGCTTAAGAGGTTTACCGTTCATGTTATGGGAAAAGGAAATATTTGAAGCAATTGGGGAGAATTACGGATGATAAAAAAAGAGTCCCGGTCCCGGCTTCCATCCTCACAAAATTTGTGGTGGGGCTAGGATTCCCTGATTGGGGGCGAACTCCTGCAGGGAATTTTTCCTCATTCAATAATGGTGTTGTTTCTAGTAGAAGTGAAACTCCGGATAGAAGGGGCATTTTGGAGTTCCAATTGTATGGCAAAGAAGTTTGAGGAGTGATGACGGAAAAGCTTGAGGAGCGAGGACTTGGGCTTCCCCAATAAGCATCAAAATTTCCCCTTCAATGCTTCTCTAATCCAGTAAACTTATTCCCTCTTTTGATATTAACTCTAAAATAAAAGTTTTTCTTCTTTTGCCAGGAAGTAATCTAATGGAAAGCCCAAGAGCTTTCATCACTACACTATCTTATATCTACTTAAGCCTTCTCTCCCAGTGTTTTGAGAAGAGCAACTTGGTTGCTTCTCAAAAAGTCCCACGTAGGCTATGAAATGGGATGCCCTCGCTTAGGAGCGCACCTCTATGCAAGAATGCGCGTGCCTTGGCACTGCATATGGTTTTTCTGTTTTAAATTAAAATTTTATTTTTGTTAAGAAACTAAAAAGTAAAAACATCCTTCAATATTCTATTTTCTCTAAATAATTTTATCTTCATTTTTCTACTGTATGGCTCACCAAAAAAAAAAAACCCCTCTTTTTCTTTTTCCTCATGCTCAAGTCCGGAGGGGCTATTGCATAGATCAATGTATTCTTCCGTTAAAAAGGAGCTCCCTTTCTTCCATTTCCACAACCCCATTTCTTCTTTTCTCTCTCTCTTTCTAAATCTCCCAGCAATTTCTCTATTTCCGGCATTCTGCCTTGCTGTTTATTCACATAATTTTGAACTCCATTTTTTAATTTGCCTTTAGAAAAATTCAATTTCTCCATGTTTCTGAAAGTAGTCCATCTGTCCCTTTCCTTCCATTTCTAATTTACCAAAGTAATTAATTCATCATTTTTGAGCCATGCATTTGAGGGTCCCCACGTCAAATTTCCTGTTTTAAGTAATATTGAGTAATGATCAGAAATAACTCTCGTCCTACAAACAACTCTTGCTCCTTTTAAAAGCCTTAATACTAGGGAGACCATTATCTTTCGATTTTACAAGAAAATATTTAAAAAAATTTGTTTGTGGAAATGAAGTCTTGCTGAGAATCTATCTTAACCCTCTTTAGGAATACCATCGCACTAAATCTGATAACTCAATACAAAATTTGGTATCAGGCGTGGCCCAAGTATGAACTCTGAGAGTCGTTCCATGGTGCAAAGACAAGAGTGATTCCTAATATCTATTCCTCTTCTTTGGTGGTAAATCTGCCCATAAATGTTTACACAATTTTTTTATGTCACTCAACCCAGGTATTGTGTACTGAGATTCATAATTCCATGGTGTTAGTAACTTAATTGCAAATAAAAGAGTGATTCCCATTATGTCATTATGATGATTGCCCCTTCTTCCCTCACGCCTCTTCGAAATGTCGCCTCAAGATTTGTTTAACTGTTGGTACGATGAAGTGTGTCTAGTTCCAAATATTAGTGGCTGTAGGTGAGTTTCTCCTCAATAGCTTTGGAGATTCACACAAGAGGATAGGAGCCTTTGGAGGAGAGTTATTGTGGCTATTTACAGGGTGGAGCCTCACAAGTGGTTCAGTAAGCCGGCTAGAGGTAGACCGTGAGTGGACATCGATAAACTTAGGGCTGGAAATCTTTACCCACATATTTCTCCTTGGTCATAACAGACTGAATCTTTGGTTGTTTCATATTCCATTTCTTTTCTTGTTTTTCAGGTTTGTTTCATTTTGGCTTTTAGTTAGGAAAAATTATATTTAATATTTTGGATTTTTGTTCTTGATAGTTATTCTTTCATATCCCTTGATGAATTTGTATCTTGTCTTTTTTTTCCCCCTTTTTTTCTTAATTTCCTTTTGATCTTATATCAGTCTCTGTGGACTCTATTTTAGCACTCCATGTTTATACCTAAACTATTGAGGTTCGTGTCTACTGATTAATGAGTCATCTGATATAGATTAATGAAGGAGATGGTGCATTTTATGGACCAAAGATAGATATTAGTGTATCCGATGCATTGAAAAGAAAATTCCAATGTGCAACCCTTCAGGTATTATTATATACTTATTTCGTAAGCTGCTTGCCCGCACTTGTTGCTTGGGCATATGTATTTCACATGCAACAGAGTGTTTTTTACATCGTGGGCATATTTATTTGCAGTTGGACTTCCAGCTTCCTGCTCGCTTTGATTTGTATTACTCTGCAGAGGATGAGGCCAAGAGGGAACGCCCTGTTATGATTCACAGAGCCATCTTGGGGTCTGTTGAGAGGATGTTTGCTATTTTGTTGGAGCACTACAGAGGGAAGTGGCCCTTTTGGCTTAGTCCACGTCAAGCAATTGTTTGTCCCGTATCGGAGAAATCTCAATCCTATGCACTGAAGGTAGCACTTGAAATATTATCGGTTTTATTTCCTTCAGAACACCCAATCTGTTATTCAAGTCCCATTGTCAAAGTTCTAGTATTCAAATCTCAGATTTCTTTTCATTTATGTAAATGTAGAGAGCCCCTGACATGATTGCATGTTGTAATACAAAATATTGGAAATTGAGTATATGAACTTTCTGGCTGTTATGATACTGGCTGTTTTATATTTCGTAGGTGCGTGATCTAATTCATCATGCTGGTTATTATGTCGATGTGGATGTTACAGACCGAAAGATTCAGAAGAAGGCAAGTCCAATATACTTTTGTCTTTATTATTCCTGCTCATGATTTTGCCTTGTTGAAATGAATACTTCTTATTTTCCTTGCCCTTCAACATAAAAGTGAACTGCCAACATTAATTTATCTAGTTGTTGTAATATCTTACGGTGTTTACTCAAAATAGTAGATGGATGGGTTCTTAATTTAATTTTCTTGTGATGCTGTGGTTTCTTGCAGGTGCGAGAAGCACAGTTGGCACAGTATAACTACATATTGGTCGTTGGTGAGGAGGAGGCTAACACCAAACAGGTTTCTGCCATTGCTTTATTTTTTAATAACACTAATATATGTTGCTGGTGCTTCATTCGAAACCAATATTTTAGTGAAATCAATGGTCCTCAATATGTTCTTTTGAATTGTCATCTTGGATCGCGGTGTTGTCTTGTTCGGTTTGAATGCGGTACTCAACCTTCGAGTTGTTGTGGCAGGTAAGCGTACGGGTGAGAGATAAGGGTGACCATTCAGTGATGAGTATTGAGAACCTGATCAAACACTTCAAAGAAGAAGTTGCAGCTTTCCATTAGAGATGACTTGTTCATTTGAAAACAGCATAAGGGGGTAATGGCATCAGATATTAATAAAACTCGATTGTTTTTTGGCTCCCTTTGTCATTACCAAAAGAATATATTAGTTTCTTTGCCTTGGTTCTATCCATGTTCTCATTTGTGTAAAATATGTATATGTTTTTGAGTTTCATGGTTGACAAATGATCTAATGAAGGTAAAATTTAGCAGTTTTTTGAGGCTTTGGATCGTGTAGGGCCTAAACTAGAATCATGGAGTAAAATACAATTTAGAATAAAAATATATGCATTTGTTTTTTTTTGTAAGTAAATAAAAATATTTTCTAATTAATAATATGTTTGAGTTGTTTTTATTTAGTACCTATAAACTAATTTAGCTTACCATATATATATATTTTTAATTTATTTGGACTACAACCCAAACTATATGATTTGGATTGGATTGGTTGTCTTTTGGATGCTCTAAACAGGATGATGTTATCATTATGCAACAAAAAGATTTGTGCATTGTCTGCATCGCTCCGCTCCTCTTTTAACTTATATATATATTCAAGGTTAAAATACTATTTTGGTTCGGGTATTTTCAGCTTTTGTTCATTTTGGTCAATGTATTTTTAAAATGTTTATTTTGACCATGTATTTTCAACTTTAATTCATTTTAGTTTTTGTACTTTAAAAAAATTTGTTTTGGTCCTGAAGAGCAACTATTTTAATCATTTAATTTTACTCTTAATTCCATTTTTCTTATCATAGTTTCATATGGTACTCAATCAATATGTTTTTGAAAATGTAATCATGACTTTATAATAAAGGGTTTTCATTATTTGTAGAATTTATGTTAAAATTTTGCAATTAGGGACTAAAATTGTTGCTTTTTAAAATTAGAGAGACCAAAATAAATATTTTAAAAATACATGGACTAAAATGGAAAATATTTTGATCAAAATGAACATGCCAAATAAATAGCCAAGATGAACTAAATTTAGAAGTAGAGAGTATTTTGCCCTATATTCAAATTAACATAGCTTCATTAGAGGATTTTCTTCTTTTTTATCATTATTTTTGTTGTTATTACTTTTTATGGCAAATTAATATATAAGACATTGTATAAAATTAAAGTTGAATATTTTATTAACGGAACACGACCATCTATCAACACAAAATGTCTCATCAATTTGTTTATTACTCACTTATCACTTATCCATTATCATGATTCGATAACTTAATTTTTTTAGTACAACATGTAGGGTTGAGAATCAAACTCACAACCTCCTAATTGGAGATATATGTTAATTACTATTGAACTATGATCCCTCTGGAATTGTATTTATAGCCTATTATTCAATACACAAAGCAAATCCAAATAGCTTAACAAAATCAGTATAACTCAACTTGGAGGAAAAAAAAAACTACTAGACCCCAAATATCATTCAAAGTAAAAGGATGGAGGAGACCATTGCTACTGCCTAGTCTTTAATTTTTTAATTTTTTTTAATTAAAAATGTTCCTATCGAACTCAAACTTTTTAACTTGTTATAAAATTTTAAAGAAATTTTACTCTCTATCATGAATTTCTGTTTTTTTCTTAAAAAAAAAAACATAAATTTGATATTTCTTAGTGTTTTTGCATTAGATTTGAGTTTGACATTGATTTAAATTATGCGGTTTACGTAAAATTAAACTTTCTTTTATACTTGAAATACATATTTATTTTATACTATTTTTGTAAATCTTTTTAGCTATGAATATTCAATTGAATGTTTAAATAGTCATTGAGTTTCCGTATTTATTTCATTCTAATTCCTAAATTTTAAATTTTAAATTTTAAATGTTAGTTTCTGAGTTTTATAAAAGGAATTATTTGTGATTGACATTATTTTGTCGCCAAACTCCTCAATCTCTCATTTTCTTTTTCTCATTTTTTACTCATATAGGATCAACTCTAATTAATGTGATAAAAATCTTGCATCTTTTCTAAAGTAACAATTAAGTTATATTTGCTAAATGAGCATAACTCTGCGTTGATGGGTATATATCTCAAACCAAGAGGTTGTGAGTTCGATCCTCACCCCTCGATGTGCTCAAAATAAAATTAAGAAAAAAAAACAGAAAAAACAATTGTCATATTTGAACCTTAGTACTTGACCCACAAATACTTATCTTAATTAGCCCATATGAGACTTCAATACATTTTCAAGTAAACACATATTCAAAATCACATCATTTATCAATTATATAATTAACAGAAAAATACAAATTAAAAAAAATGACAGAAAAATAAGGATAATCAAAATGGTTACTTTGAAACTATAGTTACTCAAATGAAATTTAACAATAGTTTCTCATGAATTCAATTTAAAATTAATGACATAAGTTGTTTGTATTAAAATTTTAAAAAATATAGGATAAAATATATTTTTGTTCCTTGAGAACTTAGTTTCTAATTGGTCCACGAGTTTAAAAAACCATCATTTCTGTCCCTGATATCTAAATTTAGTTTCAATTTAGTTCATGAAATATCTAAGGTGACATGTTTAGCCCATTGGTCTTTGAAGTTAGGATTTGATTTCTAATTGATCTTTGAGTTAAATTGACCGTCAGTAAACCTAACGAGATTTTTCATTCTCTTTTGTTTAAGCAACAAAGTCTAGTCAACATAGGTTAATTGTGACATCATTATTTGGTTAGGTTAAGTAATAGTTGGCTAGAAATCAAATTCAAACTTAGGGATCAATTTGAAACCAATCTCAAACCTCAATGACCAATTAAAAACTAAATTCAAACTTTATGGACCAAATATGTCATTTTTTGAAACGTAAGGATTAAATAAAAACTAATTTAGATCTCACGGATAAGAAATGATGGTTTTTTAAATTCGATGATCAAATAAAAACTAAGTCCAAATGGCAAGGGTAAAAAATGTATTTCACCCAAAAATATATATTATATATTATAATTGGCATGTTCCAAATTCAACCCCATTAGGTACACAGGACAGAGGCACATAGATTTTGGTGATGGGGTATGAAGGACCACATCCCCATGGAGAAGATATAGTTTCCATTTGAAAAAAAGAAAAAAAGTTTTGACTGAATTATGATCATTCTAGAAGGTCAATGAAGTTGTTGCATGATATTATACCAAACTAGAGATCATCTCCCATTTGCTCAGGTTTTGACAAAGATCTAAGTTAGGTTGTGTTGAAAGACTTTTTTTTTTTTAGTTTTATTACCTAATCATTCTCCATTATAAATTTATCACATTCAAACTTTCATCTCAATATAGTTCAACTGTTCAAAACATTTATCTTTGAGTTCGAATCTTCCTCCTATATATGGTACTAATTAAGATGATTGATCAAATTCAACCCAACTATGAATATATTTGAATTTGGTTAACAAATTTACGGTCCAATCTACACTCCACACTAAATTTGGTTACATGAGATATAGATCTAAAGCATTATTTTTAATGGTGTCAAACTCTAAGATGGTGACAAACATGATCGACACAATTCAACAGTTAAATTATGTCATCTTTTTTTGAAGTTAGAGGTTCAAATTAAGAAGCGGGAGCGGTCAAATGACGTTAGGATATTACTATATATATATATATATATATATATATATATATGGTGCTGAGGCCGCACGTTAAGCATGGAAAATACACACACAAGAACCAAGCAAGAGCCACAGCCATCCCTAAAAAAAATGCATGCATGCCCAAATGGGATGCACCTCTTCTGGAAGCTCACTTCCTTTGACTCCTACTTTGTCTCTTTTCTAATTCTTAAATTTCTAAAAAGTTTTCTATTATATTTTATTATATTATTTATGGGATTTTCATTGGCCCTCCTGCACTCTTCTACTGCATTGGCCCCTCCTGCTTCTACGGGTCGTCTCACTCTTTTTCTCTACCTTTCATTCTACTGTTCAATTTCTAATTTTCCAGAGCTGTTTGGTTTGTAGATTTAAGTAGGTTTATTGAGTTGTTAAGTCTGTGTTTAGATTATACAGAAAATAGGTCTGTGAAATATGAATTTATTAAACCTGTGTTTTATTTAAATACTACTTTATTTGTTAAAATTGTTTATTTAGTAGTTTATAAATTGATGACAAATATTAGATAGTAGTTCATACCATAATTATTTGATTGAAATTATATAAATTTTATTAAAAGTTTTATTGTCTTGTGGAATTAGGAAGTACTTTTTGGTATAAATAATTTTTTTTAATACATTTGTTCGCCCAAATCTTTCAATAATTCTTTTATAAAATAAGAATTTAATTATTTTATATAAATTTATCCAATATGTAATTTACTATAGAATAAGTATTATCAATGGCATTTAACATGAGTTTAGCTCAACGGTACCATAATTGACATGTATCTTTGACGAAGAAGTCTTGAGTTTGAATTCTCTCATCCCCACTTATTGTACTAAAAAAATAATTAATTATTTATTTAATTATTTTTTAAAATAAAATATCATGAGAGTAAAATAGGAATAGTAAAAATTTCGTAAATAAAAATTCAAAAATTTTGTTATATTTGTAAAATACAAAAGAGGTTGACGTTTTTATAAATATGACTAAAGCTATCCAATGCAATTTTCCAAAAGCAAATGTATTCAAAGAAAGAAAAAAAAAAGCATGAATGCGTAGGTATTCTTTTATTTTAGTCAACTAGTCAGGAAAAAGTTATTATTTGAGTATTAAATTTAACTAATTAGACCAAAAGCTTGGGCAATTATATTTTATAGTAGGTATCCATTTAGGTAATTTGAAATTATTTTTTAACTTTTTAATAAAAGAATGAAAAAAAAAGCCCTTAATCTTAAGAATTAAGGGTTGGAAAACAAAAAATAAAATAATAACGAATTTGAACAACCAACCATTTATTCAAAACCCATTAACAAGTCTTCGTGCTTTGTAGAGATTGAAAGCTGTATATATTGTGTGGAAGGGTCAACATAAAGGTTTATTTAAAATAATCTTTGATTAATTGCTTCCTTATCTAATTAATTACTATCTAAACTACACTCTAGAGAACTAAGTACATAGTAAAAGAAAACGACATTTAAAATAATAGCTATCCAAATATTTTTCTTACTAAAAATAAAAAGTTTTTAAACTAATCAACTCCCCTTTTGCTTTTGAATAACATTCTTATAATTTAAAACAATGTTTGATGGGGTGGAGAATAATTTAATCTTGCTA